AAAAAAAAAAAAAAATTATAAGTAGTTTTTTACAAATCGTTTGCCATATTTTGTTTTTTTTGATTTAGTATTGTTTGTATGTTGAGATTGACCATATCTTGAGAACGCAAAATGATAATGAGAACGATTATTATAATGATTATCATAACAATTTACTCTATAAAGAAAATAAATTCATTATTAATTATAAATTTCATACTGTATAAAAACGACGGTTTGAACTATATATAAATATAACTTACTTTTTAACATTATTAATATTATGATTATCCTGTGGTTGAATGGCTCTTGAAGAATTTGTTGCGACAACTGCGACAACTGAAGAAGCTCCCAAAAATCTTTGCCACATGATGAGTGATTATTTTAAGATTTTGTTGTTTAAAAATTGAATTTTTTAAGACGTAGAATGCAGAATAAATAAATGTATGATATGCAAAGTATGATAATTTTATGATATGATTGTAAGTATATGAAGCAAAATATGATAATTTTGTATGTACATGAGGGAAAGAGAAGATGGCTTATTTATATAATTCGAGATTTATATTTAAAAGATAAAATCAAATAAAAGTTTATTGTTCGTTAAAATTAAAACTTATTGTCGTTATTTTTTTTGTATAAAAAAAATATGCATAAAATATTAAACAATGCAAACATTTTCATTTGTAATAACGAATTTGTAATGATAGATTAGATGGAAGAGCGGAATTCGATAACCGTTTACTTTCCGGAAATTTGGATTCCAGAAATTTTATGTCGTGTATAACCGATCTTATTATTCTAATTTCTTAACTGAATATACGATGCATAAGATGTAACATTTATTACAGACGATACATCTAATTAGCCAATAATACATACATAATCATACGGTTTATCAGTTTTCGTAAATTTAAATAACTAAATTTTTTATCAAAATTATTTAAATTCCTGTACAGAAGAAAAATATGCATGTGTATGTACTGTATGTATATGTTATGATCAGTTATTGATTGAAACCATATTTAGGTTATTAAACGAAATAAATGAAATTTTATCACTTGACCGCCAAAAAAAATGATGTCATACCTTCCCTTTACAGTATTGCCTTTTAATATTGCCAAGGATTTTTTTCTTTTTTGTTGCATAATTGATTACTCCATATACTTTTAAAGTGATTATCCCGATAATTTTCATAATTTTTTTTTTGTACGACAATATGAAAATATTATAATCCCATTAACAAATAGATTACACACTTCTTTAAAAGATGAAACAATAACATCTTTTGTAATTTTTTTTTGTATTTCCTTTTTTAGTGATTTTAAATCACAATGATATGCTTTTATTTTTTCTATTATTATTTTGCAAAAGTAGTTTTTTCGCCATAGAAGTTGTATCCCAGAATTTTTCGAGTACTCTTATGTAATACAATCGAACGAATTTTGTTATTATTTACAATTATTAAATATTTTTATTAACGGAAAAAGTTTTCCCTCCCTTTTCAAATGATATGAATCGACTGAACAATGATTATCCGTCATGCTGATTTGACGGACTGATATTTTTTTGTTAATGGCTAAATAATTGATATTTTTTTTTATCAGCTACAGTAAATATCAAATATATTTGCAATCATGTAAATCTTTAATAAGTTTTACAGTTTAGTTATACTTTTTAGTATGACTGACGCAATATCTATTATGTAACAATCAGTTAATATATTAACGTTAATATACGGGTTATAAAACAATACTAAGTACTATCATAAAAATATATAATTCCACGCAGCATAATATGTGTAGTTCGACATATTAGTCTAGTTTATTATTTTATAATGAAGTTTTCTTACGTAAATATTAACGTTAATTTTCGTATTTGAATTTTTTTTATTTCGTTCCAACACATTCATCTTTTTTCTTCTCAATGCTCAGAAAAAGATAGTTTACTTTATTCATTAATATTTGCGAAAATGTGTATGAAGGATTGCCGGTGAGAAATATTGAAGAAGAATTCTGGAAAGACATCTTTACTTCGCTCTTTCATGGACTGAAAAAGAAATATATGAACAGGCTTGGAAAGCTGCGCATTTTGTTATAAAATTTATGAATAGGCGGTTTTCATTGCGGTTGAAACGACATGTACGACGGGCTGCGTCCCCAATATTTCGTAAAAATTAAAACACATGATACTGTGTCATCTATATAATAGTTATTATAGTTTTATATCTTCACAACAAAATTTTCCATTCACGTAATCATAGTAAAATATTATCCACTTGGCGTCTCGAGTCACCCTCCATTTTTACTAAGTATTCTGGGGATTTGAATTTTTTTCGGTATGTGAAATACAAAACGCCACATTTTAAATGATTCAATGCCATAGTGCCATCGAAAAGCAAATTTTGTTGGTGATGACGTCTAATTTTGATAATATCACGTGGACGAGATTAATCAGATTATATTAGGCCATATACCCAAGGTGTGTGATTTTTTTTTTCCTGAATTTCTGACTTTAATAGTTCTCATTGATCTGTTTTTTTTTATTACCCTTTCATAAATAAAGACCGCTAAAATTGAAAATTTTAACAAATTTTATCCAACGCTTTTGTGATATCTCAAATGAAAATCAAATATTCGCTGATCCAGTAAAATTATGAACATAGCGTTTTTTCCTATTTGATTAAAAAATTTCTGATGAAGGTGGAACAAGTAGCGATATGGCGAAGTCACATGAAAATAAAATTTAAGATAATATTTATTTTTTAAAAAGGGCGGCCAATTAGAATTACTTTGATGACCGAGAGTCAGTAGTGATTTTATCAGTAGTCCGAAAATAGTGAACAGTGTGTTTCTGATTCAGTCAATCATTATTTTTTTTAGCAATGCTCGAAAGTTGAGCAAACCTAAAGTCAGCTTCATAAACCAAAGAGAATTTTTATATCAGATAATATTTTGTAACATTTTAGTATTCTTTCATAAATACTTTTAACAGTTATCGTAATAAATTTCTGATTCACTAATAATTTAATGAGCATCTCCCGCCATTTCTGGAAAAAATAAAAATATTTGATTACAAAACAAGCAAATAATACATGTTTAATTTATGCCTAATTAATATCGTTTACCTAGGAAAGGAACTTTTGAATTTTATTAGCTACTTCAAAGGTTTTCTAATTAATGATCGAAACGTTCAAGACTTTTTTATGAATCTATATCCAATTTTTATTTTTTTTTTTCGTATACATAAAGATCGACGAAATTTTATTTTTTCACGTATAGTAAATTTCTATAACGCAATTATTACAATAAATCTGGCCAGATAATCACGTGAAATGAAATTGCTGGTGTGGTTTCAATTTAAACATTTCGTTAATTATTTTTTTTTTTTTTTTTTTTCGTTTACTAATGAGTTTAAATCTTAAACTATAGAAAAATTACCATCCAACATTCAACATCCAATCATTATTTCAACGCTTCAAAATATATTTTCTTCGCTTAATATATTTGTTTAATTAACAATTTTTAAGAAGCACTAAACATTAACTATCATTAAATCATTAAATCGACTTTTTATTCAAAGATTTAATAACTTTATTTATTAAACTGTGAAAAAAAAAAATATTAGAAATTACGTATTGTTATCTAGTTATCAGCTTTACAAGGGATTTATAGAGAAAGTTAACATCAAATTTTTGTGTTTTGAATTTTTAACGTGAAGTTACGTTAACAAAAGATTTGAAACTATTCAGTTATATATATATAAGTTGTTAACAAATTAATATTACATAATTATTTAGATTTTTTTTTTAATAATATACTCTTAATCTATTAATTTAGTTTTATCCAATAATAATTTGTTGTTCAACCGCATTACATTGTGCAACATATGTGAAGTTCGCAGTATTTGATAACAAATATTTTTAGTTTAGAGGTTTGAAACCGGTTAATGCTACCAGTTAAGGCATCTTAAAAACCGGCTAATTGGTCAAAACTAATTTGACCATAATTCTGGTCAAATATGTATAATGTGAACAAGAGACATCGTTCGTGTTCTCTAAACTCGAAGTTTTTATTTTTTCTAAACTCCTACAGCTAAATATGCCAAAAATCGGTACAATTTACAATCAAAAAAAATTTTTAATATCACAGCGGATTCATAATCCCTATAAAAAATTTTTATCCGAATATTTCCATTATTTCTCCGTGTCTTCCGTAAAAATTCCGTGAAAATGGTACATTCACGGATATCCGTGTTAGCGAGATGAAAATTTCCATGATTTAAGGCTATAAATTCCATGAAAATGATACATTCACGGAAAAAACATGGAAAGATAAAACACGGATCAGATTTTTTACAGGGTAATGTACGGGATACTTGGCAAATTTTATGTCGAAAGCTCAGAACTTGCCGGCTTGTTGGATTGTCAGGAAATTGAAATCAAACACGTGATTTCAAATAGCACGTGACTATTCACAGAGTATAAATTGATTGGCTACTTGACAAATTTTATGCTAGCTTGCCGGCTGGTCGGGTTGTAAAGTCACTCAAGCGCCCCGTACATTATGAATAACCTTAAGAGCCGATCCACCTACGAACGACAGAAAATTACTATATAAATTCGGCCAAAATTGGACATGATGAATCCTTAAATGTCAAAAATAAAATAAATAAAATTTATTTATTTAAAACTTTATTTTGAGGCAGCGTCAGATTTGACAGGTATATATATATATGTATGCGAGAATTTCAAGTCATATACTACGTTTTTTTAACAAATATGAACATTTAAAATTATGTTTTTTTTCATTTTTAGATCTTTTCTATTTGTACGTTAGTTACGCTTGTTTTTAGCCAAAAAAACCATCACTTTGACAATAAAATTTGAGTAATTTTCATGAGTGAACCAATTTTTACTGAATAATGAATATTTAAAACACGGAGGTGTCGGATTTAACCTTAATTTTAATTTTTTATGGTAACAGGGAAATTTTTTTAAGATCCGATCCGCCTATGATCAACAGAAAATTACTATAGATTTTTCCGTCATTGCACATATTTTTGAAGAATAATAATGCACAATATCACATAATAAAATTGACAAAAATGGTGCGCTTTAGTAAGCAATTATTTAAATATTTCAAATTAAAATAAATATTAACCTGTAACTGAAAATTTTTATCCGCAATTTCTGTAAAACTCCGTGAATATGATACATTTACTAAAACTTTAAACAATTTGGATAATTTCCGTGCATTGAGGCTATAAATCCCGTTGGGTATGATACATTTTTGTGGAAATAATATGGAACAAAAAACACGGAATAAATTTTTTATAGGTAAAACAAGAATCAAACTCAATTTAATTTTTAATTCAAAAAGGATTCTAGATTTTTTATCATCATGACGAATGCGCATTTTTCCTAATATAGTCTAATATAGAATTACACCACATATCAACTGATTTTATTGATTTGTAATACAGAAGAATTCGGACAAAAAGTTTCTACCAAAGAACTCTACTGCATAGTTGCTTCAACGTAAGACGTGATTTACTATGTATTATTTATGAATATAATATTTTTTAATCAATCACAGAAATTCTATCGAAATAACCATATATTATAATTTGACTCGTTTTACAATTGTTGTCGAATGTTTATTAAATGAACGACAAGTTTAATGTGATTTCTTTAATAAAATCATTTCTTAAATAGCGAAATCTTGAAATTATTTAAAAAAGGAATTAGTAAAAAGATTAATTAAGGTTCTTCAATTACAAGATATCAGTTGATTGATCTAATCATAGAACAACATTTGCGAACAATAACCGGAAAATTTTGTATTTTCTTATTCATGAATAAAATTGGTTTTATTGGTTGTTCATTGTAATATTATTGTAACGTTGTAAATTGAAGCAGATTTATGGATCACGTATACTTGCGTTTATCCTTTTGTGAATAAATAATGTATTTTTATAAATTATATAAATTTGTATATTAGGCTTAACACACCACTTCGCAAACTTTACCATCCGTTTACAGTACAACACAACAAACAAAAAATAATCTCCTTTGCTACACATACTAATTCGAGATTGTGTAAATATTTTAAAATCCTTTATGATGCATTTTTTGGTATAATAACGCCTAGCTCCTTTCATCCCATCACTTATAAATACAAGTGTTAAATTCCTTCACTCCAAATCTCACAATTCAAAGAAAACTGAACAACCTTTAATTACCAAATAATTCCAAATCATTATGAAAAAGCTTATCTTAATACTTGTTCTAGCAATCGTAACCTTCATTGCATTCACTTCTGCTACGCCAACTAGTTGGAAAAGAGGCACTGCGTTTAGAGCGGTGACAGTCCCTAAGGGAAAACCATCTTTAGTATCAAGACAGGCTTCTCAGTGTGGCGGTGATCCCACATATTTTTTATGTGAAAATGGTATCGGATGTTGCCCAATATCGTCAACTTGCATTGGTCCTAACCATTGCAGTATTGAATGCGGGCCTGATGATAATTATTGCGCTGATGGTTCAACCTGTTGTCTTCAAAATCAAGCCTGCGTACTCGTTGAAGGTCTATATGGATGTACAGAAGGTTATTAATATGTATGAATAGTGCAGTTAATATGATCTACGTATGTAATGTTTTTAAAGTAACATGTACTTTTAATTTACTATATAAATAAATCTTAATTATTATGTACGATTCTTTTATTTTATTAACTACTGTACATACTAAATTAAAGAACCAATAAAATCTAGTTTTATGATTTCGCGATTTCTTTAATAATTTTATTTGTGTTATTTTTAATATAAATTTACATGTAATAATTGTAATATCACATTATTTTAAAGAAATTCTGAAGACTCATTTTTTATAAATTAATCAACTCCATTACATATTCCTTTAAGAAACATTGAAAGAAATAAATTAATTAAATTAAAATATTTGGTCTTGCTTACAGCAGGATTTTGCTTACAGGATCTCACTTGATATTATTATTTTATTGTATTGTACATGTCTTATTATTGTATCACATAATATGATATTTACTAAATCGAACTATACCAGATACTGATTTACGTGCCAGTTCCTACTTAAATATATATATATTTATAAATATTTTTATAATTAGTTACTTAAGGTATATGTGTCACTACAAATTACTATACAAAAACTTGATTCTTTGGTTAAGCTAACTATTTATAAACTTTTATTTGACAGTTACCTAATAATGACATGATAAAACATATTTGATATTTTTCTTAAAATATTAGTTTTGTTTTAATCAAATTTTTTATGATTTCGATTGATTGTTTCTTTACTTTTTCTTTATACCTCTTATCAATGTTTTTTTTTATTTTAAAATTATCAAAATTGATTGGCTAGTTTTGAATTCTATCTTAAGAGCGAATTTTGAAAATAAATTCAGTTGTAAAATTTCATTGTTATATTAAATAAAAAAGAATGGTTTCATTATAGTAATTAATAAAATTTATTTTTTATAAATAATTGTACGTAGAAAATTGATTATACTATTAGTCAAATTATTTCTTTATACATACTGTAGTATATTAATAAATTGAAAATTAAGTTAGTTATTAAAATTATTTAATGTCAAAATTTTAATTTTGAATTCTGTCAAAAAAGTGAAAAAAAATTATTTGAGTAATAATTTATTCATTAAGAGAATGATTTTTTATTATAAGCAAAAAAAAAAATTATATTTTATTGTCATTTTATTGTTATTAATAAATTAATATTTTATCATTTTAATTAAATTAAAGGGTTATGGAAATGTGTTATTATCAGAGGCAGGGCTTTTATGCGAAAATATTGCATTATCAGAATTCTGTTTCCCGCCACGTTATGAACCAATAAAAATATAGAATTATAATACTTCAAAGGCATCATGTCATCTTGTTAACTTTAAATATTATATTTTTTACACTTGAAGCTGAAGCAGTTGAAACAGTGAAGAATCAATATCCCGTTTTTATTAATATAAGTTGAAGTTCATTCACTTTTTCGGTTAACATTAATACTGTATATCTAATTATTAGTAGCGACTTATAAACTTAATTATTTAAAATATCAATGAATAAAAAACTTTAAGTTTCGTCAAAGTTTAATCTCGTCAAGGTTTAGTTTCGTCAAGGTTTATATATTATAATTAATGGCGCTTTTATTCCAACGGTTCCGTTTTATATTATATAATTATAAATACTAGTAGCTCATTCAAAATTTTGCCATAAAATGATTGCCATATTCCATTTTATTTTATATTTTCTTTCAAATCAAAATTATAGAACGTCTACTTTATAAATTACATAAAATAATAAGGATTTTAATTTTAAATTTAAACTTAAAATAAATTATGATATATATTTTGTAGTCTTATCATTTAAACAACTTAAACAACTTTAGTAGAAAATATTTTGAAAGAAAAAAATTAAAACTTTAAAAGAAGACTATTTTTGATTGTAGAAAATTAATGTACTTCACTACTTTTCCTTATTTATATTTGCACTTTATACAATATTCCATACTTATATCGGATATTCGTTGCATTTTCTTATAAACAAGGTACCAAATATAATAATCACGTGATATCTGTCCATCTTAACCATAATAAGAATTGATCTCATTCATTAAATTCGAGTTCTTCGTTGGAATTCTAGAAATACGACGATCATTGACGATCCGTTCTGTTACACAAATAAATTCCGTTTTGTTGCTTTATTCTCATTGAATTCGCTTATTTTTTATCTTCAGAATTTATAAACCATTTCACAAAATTTAAAAATTTCACTATGGATAATATTCGATATGAAATAGTTAATATTGTATTGAATAAATCATTTGCATTAGTAGATATAAATATTCATAATAATCGAGAAAAAGCAGATGAATTTATGAGGCAAACCGTTCTTGCTGATAAATCACTTTCAGAAGATGAAAAATTAGAAGCAATAAGATCAATAAATTTATCATCTGACATGTATAATATTCTTAATAATTCAGGGACAAAAAGAATTTGTGAAAATTGTCAAGAAGAATGTTTGGCTAAATTATATTGTGAATATTGCATTCGAAATTACCTAAAAGCAAAATTTACACATTGGACGTCTAAAAATGATGATATAAATGATCTTTTAAAAACATGTCAAATGGAAACAGTGAGACCAAATAGGATAATAGAATGGATCCAGTATGACAAATTACAAAATATTCAATATTTAACTAAAGGAGGATGCTCAGAAATTTATACAGCAGATTGGCTTGATGGACCATACATTAAATGGGATAATCAAGAACAACAATTATTTAGAAATGGCACAAAAAAAGTAATACTTAAAAAATTGGAAAATATTGAAAATGCTAATAGAAGTTGGTTTGATGAGGTATATATAACAAACTTATTTGTAATGCAATATTAATTAAATTATAGTTAAAATACATTTTTATAATTATTAGTGTAAATCTCATTTCACTCTAAGTAACAAATGGGAAAGTATAGTACAATGTTATGGCCTAACAAAAGATCCATTAGATGGTAATTATATGCTTGTAATTAAACAAATGGATATGGATTTGAGAAAATATTTACAACAAAATTATCATAAAATTACGTGGAAAAAAAGAATTGAGATTGCTTATTTCATAATTGAATCACTTTCTCAAATTCAAGATGAAAATGCAATTCATAGAGATTTACATTCAGGAAATATATTACTTTTACAAATTGATTACTTCATCAGTGATCTTGGATTTTGCGGACCAGCTGATAAACCATTAAATAGTATATATGGAAATCTTCCTTATATAGCACCAGAGGTTATTTCTGGAAAAGAAACTACTTTTAAGTCTGATATTTACAGTATAGCAATGTTAATGTGGGAAATTTCGTCAGGACAATCACCTTTTATTAATTTTGAACATGATTGTGATTTAGCATTAAAAATTATAAATGGAATGAGACCAAGAGTAATACCGGGAACTCCTTTAGAATATAAAAGACTAATGGAACAATGTTGGAATGCTGATCCAACAAAAAGACCTGATATTAATCATCTTAATTATGAAATTCGAGAACTATGTAGATTATATTATCAAAATGAAGATATTGAACCGCAAATAAATAATAATATACTTGTAACAAATTATGCAAACTCTAATTCTACAAATTCATTAATTAGAAATCTTAGTAAAGTTCATATTTTTAAAGATTTACCTGAACCAAGAAATGCCACTGAAGGTATAATATATTATTTTAAAATTACGTTATTTTAGGTGTATTTAAGATTATATTTGATCATATTTAACTAATTTTTTTTATATTTCTATTTATTAAATTAACAGAAGAACAACAAGGTAATTATTATAATTGCTTATTTATAAAAATATTTATGCAAAATTGGTTAATTATTTGTATTTAAAGCTTATCATAGTTTACAACTTAGTTTAAGTATTCCGCACAGTAAGTAATAATTTATATATGAATACTAATAAATTGTAATTAAATTTAACAAGTTAATTTTCTTTATTTTATTCAGAAATTGGCGATATTATATCTGAACAGTCTGAATGTCAAGTCAAACAGAATAATTTTACAATAATTGGTAAACAAATAAAGAAAAATAAATATAATTTAAATTAATTTTTATAAATTAATATTTACTGTTTTCAAAAATCAATTTATAGATAATAAAAATGAGACAAAGGGTAAATCTAAGAGAATTTATTCAGGTAATTATAAACGATGCTAAAATTATTATTATATACGTATATATTTTAAATAAAAATAATTTTCTTATTTATTTTAAACAGAAGACGAGAAAGAAGATTTAGTAACTGATAATAATAAATCCAAAAAGATCAAATTGAATAGTAATAAAGGTAATTAATTGTTTAACCATTTTAAAATAAACTTCTTCGGTTATTTGGTAATTAAATTTATTTTAAAATTATACGTACAATTTTACAGTCGAATTCCAATATATGCAAAGAAATTATTTTGTAAATGATGGTAAGAAATTTATTATTTATTCTTATTACCAAATTAGAATTGACATAATTTATATTTATAATAGACGTAGAAGATGATGAAACTTTTAATAATCCAAACTTTCATTCAGAAGATCAAGATGAATTAGAGATTCCGGAAGGTAATTATTTATGAAAAATATTATAAGGCGTATTATAAAGTATTAACATTTGACATTGATTTATTTTTTATTGGATGGGTTTTAAATTGGTTAGTGAGTTAAATATTTTAAGATAAATATATTTATTTATTATTATTTCAATATTATCACCCAGAATTATTTAAACACTAAGGTTAGAGTAATAAGCTTTATAAGTTATCTTAGTATGTAATTTAAATGATTCATTTTATTATTTATTTATTTGTACTTATTGGATTATATAAATAAATACCTATATCTATATTTGAAACTAACGAGACTCAATTATGTTATATGAAAAAATTTACTTATTTTAACCCTTTTATAATTATCCGTTTTTAAATTGAAATATATTCAACAAAGGAAAACCCTATTCAACAATTTTTCCTAATATGTGATATTTAACCAATCAAATACGTCAAATATCCTCAACAGCTAATTAAATTCTATAATGAAATTAAGATGAAACCGAGGAGTACAATTTTTTAAAGCAATTTAAATTCTATCCAAAAAACAAACTAAGAATTTATCATGAATTACTATTGTATACTATGGTTATTGCTTTATTTTCTTTATAAATAATAAAATAATCATGAAATCAATATCGAAAGTATTTATTAATAATAAAAAATTGCTTTATTTTACCAGCTATAAATATCAATAATTTCTTATCTTTAATTATTTGTTGTATTATTTCCCTTATAATCATTTTTGGGATCTATATTTTTTAATCAGTGATTTTTTTATTTCTAACATTAAAAAGTAAATTAATACTTAAAAGATTAACCTTTTAAATGGCTACTTGTTTTAGATGTATTAACATAATTTGATTATTTAAATCATTTATCACGAATGAAATAAATTAATTATTATAATTCTGAAATAAGAAAACTAATTGAAAAAGTTATGTTTGATATGTTAATACCAACCAGAGTTCTATCACATGCTAACTAGCATCATTCCAGCTCCAGCTTTTTCATTTAACGTTTATGGAATTAGCCTCAAGAAATAAATTATCTTATTTCTTAAATTATTCATTTCCATCATATTTACTGGATATTTTATATATATTTTTAGGTATTATTTTTTAGGGAATTGCTTTATTTTTATTTTTATTTTTAAAACCACGTGAACAAGATTACAGAAAGATAGACAAGAACAAAAGATAAAACAAAAGTCGAACGCTATCTAATACTAAGCTATAATCAAACCGCCCGAGGACAGCGCCACTCTGGTACTTTTAACGAACCCGGAGGAGTCCCTAACGTCATCCCAATAAACCAAAGTAAAGGCTAGCACAATCAAATCTAAAAAAGAAACGATCCGTATTTTTCTTTCGGTCAATTAAGACCGCCACCTGTAAATACTGTCATAGGTGGAATGGTTCAGCACTATTCTAATTGTTGTACGATGATAAAAAGTTGTACATGGGGGTTACCCGTGAAAGAAAGATGTATTAAAATACAAGTCAAGAATATAAGTGTGGCAGGAATAAAACAAATCTATAACTATCAGCGTGCCACTAGGTAAAAAAAAAAAGCTGAAAGTTGTAACCGAACGGAGTTAAGGAAGAGTGAAGACTTTCAAGTCTTCAGGAGACATCATATCGAGTCTCAATTTTTTGATGTCAGTACTGTGCCTATCTGGATTTGTAGTTAAGATAGGGGGACGCTTGTGTGGTCTAAGTTCTAATTGTTTTGTGTCGTCCGAGGTGTGTCCTTTATAACGGTAGTGAGGCCCGTTGTCGTCGATGACAGAAAAATAGTCGATGTTAAAACGACCTATTTCATACTCTAGTTGGAGTAATTGTTTGTTAGTTTTGTAGACGTTTTTGCCTTGATTGAGTCTATTCTCTAGAACGGAACGGCGGTCGATTAAAGGTGTGATTTTCTTGTGGAAGTGATCTTGAAATTTAGTAAGATCTTTGATCATATCTTCACGATATTCTATACGATCGGCAGAAGTACCCCAGAGTTTTGCTCTAGTGGAAAGGTCTGCTTCATGGGCAAGACGTGTAACTTCTTCTGCTTCGTGTTCTTTTTGTCGTTGCATAGCTAATTCATGAGCATTTTTACGTTTTCTGATAGCATCAAACCAGTATATACAACCTGGTTCATATTGTTGGCCTTTAAGTTTTTCTTGTCTTTTAGAGATATAGATAGGTTCCTCAGTTACGTAGGGGAAAAGGTCGTTAGGAATCCAGATGCCCAACTTCTCATGCCACGTTTTCTCTTCATTGAGGAGAATGGGTTGTAAGTGGGTGGCAGGTGAGTGAGTATGTGAAGTACTAGGTAACTTATTCCCAGGATGTTGTCGAGAGAGTCGATCTTGTATCGTAGTTATAACAGCTCCTGCGCCTACAGGTCCTCTAGATCGCTCGGGAGGTATAGGAAATTTATAATCATCCTCAGTTCGGCGCATAAACCCTTTGTAATATTTTAAATGTGTTATAGGTTTAGTAATAACTAGTGAAGGTAAAAAAAGGAAGTGATGTTGCCGAGCACGATGAAGCTTTTCTTCCTTAGTGATCGAACGTTTGTGAGGTGTTTTCTTTGGTTTCCGGCCACGGTTGTAGAAAGTAGATCTACATGCCCGTTGAAAGCGTAATTTTTGATTTTTGCTCCGTTTACTACTGTCGGAGTGATGTGACTGAAAATTGGTCAATCGTTTTTGATACATGCAGCGTTCTTTGTGTGTCTGAAAAGATTTTTGTTCATTAGCTAAATATGAGATGTTGTACGAGATTCCAAGACGGTTTGAGTAAACACATTTTTTGGTGCGAAGTTGCCATTCTTTGTGAATAAGGGTAGCATGAAACTGTTTGTTGTTGCTGTTATCATTCGATAATGGGGTAAGCGGTTTCTTTGTATAATGAAATATGTTTAAATTTTTTTGGTGAGATATGCAAGCGCGTCTATTATGAGACATAATATAGGGTGAAGGGACACGGCACATCTGTGTGTGATCAGTACCAAAGTTGTAAGTGGTGAGAAAATTACACGGTGTGAAAATACCAAAGTGAAAACGGTAACGTTTATATGAAAAGTTAAAGAAAGTTTTTGTCTGTGAATTTCTTTGTGTGACTTTATCAGCACGTGATTTGACAAGAAAACATCTATCGAGTAATTTAGAACGAATAAGATTAAAATATTTCTTTTGGATGGAGCGTGGGATAACTTTTTGATGAGAAAAAAAATGTTGTAACATCTTACTAATCTGAAACTTCAGATTAGGAAAGCTACAGGTGGAAGAGTAGCTAATAGGGGTTGATTTCATGTGATAATCATTTGTGTGTATTTTAAGATGAATATCATTGGTGTTTGCTGAAAGATCAGCTAACTCAAAAAAGAAACTTTTTGATCTTCTGATTTCGTAAATCTTGTTACATCCAGCCCGATTGGGTTTAGTCACGTGAAATTTGTGAAATGAGACGTTGAAAGAAAATTTTCCCAAGGGAATAGGTTTTTGAAAAGTAAGAACCATATTTTCAATATATTTTGAGGAAAAGTAGGGTAAGAATATAGTAAAAACTTCTTTCAGAGGTCGGGTAATAAAGAGAAGGACCTTTCCATAAGAAGCCACCCAGTGGTCTTCTCTCTTCTCGAACGTTAAAAACGTAAAAGGGGTGTAAAGTGAGAAAACAGCGGATTTCTATATGAAATAATGGAAAGGGGAAAGAGTTTTTTTTTTTCACGAATCATCATTTTTTAGGGAATTGCTAACCGTCGCCTGGGTAATTGTCGCCTGAGACTTCGATCACGTGACAGATTTAATATTTTTGATTGGCCAGATTGGCCACATGATCGCGTCATGTTTGTTTATCGAATCTCGTTTTCAGTATAGGTCCGTTTCCTCGGTTTTTTCGGCCTCAAGGTATTTTTCTTTTCTTTTCTTTTTATTTCTAACTTAGATTCTGCTTACACTTTATTTCTTACTACTCTATTTCATTATTTTTAGGTCCTTTAGTCCTTCCGGTTCTGCAATTAAGGTTCACTTTACGTTTCGTTTCTTACTCATTTTTTTATTTTTTTTATTTTGTTTCTGTTTCATACACAATTAATAAAGGTATGTTTTTTTATTTTTCATTTACTTTTTTTTATTTCGTTTCTATCTTATATTTCGATCCTTACTAACTTCATTTTTTTTTACTTTATGGTTTTATTCTTTACTTGGTTTCATGATCATTTTTTTTGTATTACTTCTCATTATTCCATCCTTTCGTCTCCCATTATTTTCTATTACAACTTTTATTTTCTATTATCTCTTTCTCTCCCCTGTTAACTTCCCATCATTTCCTTTTGCCTCTCATCACTCCTTTTCATCTCCCATCACTAATTTTCGTCTCCAATCACTTCTTTTTGTCCCTAATCAACTCCTTATCGTCTCCCATCACTCCACTTTGTCTCCCATCACTTCTTTTCGTCTTCCATCACTCCTCTTTATCTTCCTATCACTTCTTTTCGTCTCCCATCACCCTTTTTACCTTCCATCACTCCTCTTCGTCTCCTATCACTTCTTTTTGTCTCTTATCACTCCTTATCGTCTCTCATCACTTCTTTTCGTCTTCCATCACTCCTCTTCATCTTCCCATTACTTCTTTTCGTCTCCCATCACTCCTTTTCATCTCTCATCATGTCCTATTTCTCCTTTTTGTTTCCTATCACTTATTATTCTTTTTCATCTTCTATTACTTTCCATTACTCCATTGTTGTTTCATTTTTTATTAGCATCTTTCTCCTTGATCATTGTAATTTACATATCTTTTTTAATAATTATTATTTTTTTTTTATTTGTATCGCTTCATTAAAAATAAACACGGTGATTTTTTTCTTTAAAATGTGTGACTTAAATTTTAACATTTGCAAATAAAAATAAAATTTCATTAATAAAATTATTTTGAATAAATATGTTTGCAAAAAAATTTTTTAAAAATATCTTCGCAATAAAATTTTAAGTTTAACCGATCAAAAGTTCGAAAAAATCAGCCATCAGCCGATTTACTATATATTGTACATCATGTGACATATTTAAAAAAAATCCCAAAAATCCCCCAGGCGATGATTGCCGTTAGCAATCCCCTTTTTTTTAAATTTTTATTTTTTTAGAAATTGTTAAAAAAAAAAAAAAATTTATATAAAAAAAATATTAAAAAGAGTATATTTTAATAATGAAACAAAATTGATTTGTAGGTGTAAAATATCTTAATTTCGCATTGTAATACACTTTATTTTAACAGGATATGTATTTATATAGTTCAATTTGTTCAAGTTTATTCGCATATATAAAAGTGTTATTCTTTAAAGCTTATAATTGAACAAATCATAAAATATAAAAAAAAAAATAAATGAATGACAAAATGAAATGAATTATTTAAATTACAAACTAAGTAACTCGCGTTAAATTTCACTACTCTAGACTTAGTGTTTAAATAATTCCAGGCAATAATCATAATAAAGATAGAAATTTAAATCAGAAATTTATAAAATATTCCCTATTCAAACCCATCTAATAAAAATGGAAATAAATAAATCGTAAAAAAGTCAACATTTTGTAGTATTATTGAAATAAAATCAAATAATGTTGATAAATTATTAAATTACCTTCTGGAATTTCAAATTCATCTTGACCCTCCGAATGTAAGTTTGGGTTATTAGAAATATCATTTTCATCTATATATATTATAAATATAATTATGTTTAATTCAGTAATGAAAGGAATAAATAATAATTCCTTACCATCATCTGCAATATAATTTCTTTGTATATATTGAAAATTGGCTAGCATAATTTTATATAGTATATTTAAATTTATACACATTATTATAATAAATTAAAATTTTATTTAAAATAATTAATTACCCTTATTGATATTTAATTTAATCTTTTTGGATTTATTATTAAATAAACAAAAAGTTTGTTTTTTAATATAGTTTATTTTAAATAATACAATTTTCATATCATCATAATAACTGAATAAATTCTTTTAGATTTGCCCTTTTCCTCATTGTTGTTATCTATAAATTTGTTTTTTGATAAGTATTAAATTATATAGATTATTATAATTAACAAACAATTGTATTCTTTTTTACCAATTATTGTAATTTGATCAGTTTGGGATACAGATTGTTCAAAAGCAAATTCTTCAATTTGCATGTCTAAAATAGAATAAAGAAAAAAGTTAATATTAGTAAATAACATTACAAAAAATACTAATATTATATTATATTTTAATTATTAGTACCATTAACATCACGATCTTGTCTTTTAATTTTCTGTTTTATTGCATCTTCTTTAAAAATATCTATAATAATTTTAATTAGAAACTAATATATTTTATCAAAATTCTTACAATATGTATTAAATATTTTACTTACCATTTTTTGAATTTATTTTTAGATTGTTAAATACTTTAGGCAATGTGTTGTTATTATACATTTTAAAACATTATGTTAGTACTTTATACAAAGGTTATGTCAATAAATTTTTAATAACTAATTATTATACCTTTTGAAACACTGTTTGATTTAGATGTATTATCATAATTTTGATTACTTGAATTGCTAAAGTCATTGACTGAAAATAAAAAAAAATAATTATTTAAATGTATTATCATATGTAAAAATTAAGTAAAGTTTACTTACTATTTTGAGGAATGCTAAATTTATAGGATTTACTATGAAATGCTATTAAAATAAATTTTTAAGTTATTTAATAAAAAGCTTCAGCCATAAATAAATAAACCATTAATTTTATGTTACCTTCTTGCTCTTCTATTATTAATGGATTTTTTTTTAAAAAAAAAAATACTAATAAAAATAACTGGTAATAAAAAATTTAGCAATAAATATTAATACCTTCTGTTGCATTTCTTGGTTCAGGGAAATTTTCAAATTGATGAATTTTACTTGTATTAAATAATCTGCTGCTTGATGAATAATTTGTTTCTGAATTATTTGTTTCTAAATCGTTGTCTGCATCTAATTAATTTGGTATATTTTGAAATAATGCATTAATTCCACTCATTTTGTTTACAAGTGTATAAATGTCGGGCCTTTTTAATGGATCGGCATCCCAACATTGTTTCATTAAATTTTTATATTCTAAAGGAGTTCCTGATACTATTCTTGGTCTTATACCATTAACTATATTCATTGCAAGATAGTAATCATTTTCATGATTATTAAAAGGAGGTCGTCCAGATGAAATTTCCCACATAAGCATTGCAATACTATAAATATCAGATGCAAAAGTATATTTTCTTCCAGAAATAATTTCAGGTGCAATATATGGAAGATTTCCATATATACTTTTTGGTGATTTATCTACATGACCACAAAAACCAAGATCACTAATACACCAAGAATCATTATGTTGTGAATATAATATATTTCCAGAATGCAAATCTCTATGAATTGAATTCTCTTCCTGAATCCATTGAAGTGCATTAATTATTAAAAAAGCAATTTTAATTCTTTCTTTCCATGTAACTAGAGTAACTTGGTAATTATTAGTGAGTTATAATCATTATACTGTCAGATTGACTAAAAAATTTTGGGTCGGGTCATCAAACGTTTTTATAATTAAATATAAAAAAAATTGATTTTTTTATTAAAAACGTCAGACTTGACGTTTTTGTAATTAAAAAATCAAAAAAATGACTTTTTTAGTTAAAAAACGTCAGACTTGACGTTTTTGTAATTAAAAAATCAAAAAAATGACTTTTTTAGATTAAAAACGTCAGACTTGACGTTTTTGTAATTAAAAAATCAAAAAAATGACTTTTTTAGTTAAAAAACGTCAGACTTGACGTTTTTGTAATTAAAAAATCAAAAAAATGACTTTTTTAGTTAAAAAACGTCAGACTTGACGTTTTTGTAATTAAAAAATCAAAAAAATGACTTTTTTAGTTAAAAAACGTCAGACTTGACGTTTTTTAATTAAAAAATAAAAAAAAAAATGATTTTTTTAGTTAACAGCGTCAGACATGACATTTTTGTGATTAAAAATAAAAAAAAATGATTTTTTAATTAAAAACGTCAGATTTGACATTTTTATGATTCAAAAAATTATTTTTTACGTTAGATTTGACAATTTTGTAATTAAAAATCAAAAAAATTGGTTTTTTTAATTAAAAACGTCAGACTTGACGTTTTTGTAATTAAAAAATCAAAAAAAATGATTTTTTTAATTAAAAACGTCAGACTTGACATTTTTGTGATTAAAAATCAAAAAAATATTGGTTTTTTTTAATTAAAAACGTCAGTCTTGACATTTTTTGTTAAAAAAATAAAAAATGAAGAAAAAACGTTTTTGTGTTATTTTTTTTATAATTTTATATGGAAAAATGCCAAAACGTTTTTTTCTTAATAGTAATGCAAAAAAAAAAGTTTTTGGCATTTTTTTTAATAATATTATATGAAAAAACGCTGAAACGTTTTTTTTACAATTTTTTTATTTTTTTGCAATATTTTATGAAATTTTAATGATCAACAAAAAAATGAAATTATGCAAATATTGAATGATGCAACAATTTAACAGGGACTTTTAGTGGCACAGGAAGAGTTTTTGCGAAAAGTTGGCATTAGAAGTTTTTTTCATTGTCATTGTCATTGACATTGACATTGACATTGACATTGACATTGACATTGACATTGACATTGACATTGTCACTGACATTGACATTGTCATTGACATTTACATAAAGTTATATAAGATTAATCTGAGAGTTTTTTACCAAAAAGGAAATTTTTTTATAAAAAGGGAAATGATTTTCAATTTCGAGGCAATTCAGCAGGTGTTTTAATAACAAATTGAGAAATGATTTCCATAGAAAATCTCGTGACAAAATTTTATAATAAATTTAAAATAAATGATCAACAAATGATCAACAAAATCGTTACTAGTTTTATAAAAAACGCCCAATAATATCTTTTTATTGTTTTAAATTGATTATGATTTTGTAATAAATATTCTCTTAAATTTACATCCATTCTCATGATTACTAGCATATAATTACCATTTGATTGATTTTTTGTTAAACCAGCACAATCGACAATTCTTGGGTATTTACTGCTTATATTTAAGTGTGATTTAGCCTATATAAAATATTTTTTATATTTGTAAGTAATTAAAAAATTCTTAAGTGTGAATTTTTTAAATGTTTAGATCACAAACCTCTTCAAACAAACTTTGACTTGCGCCTTCAATATCTTCTAATTCTTTAAGTATTAGCTACTAAATTTTGTATTCCGGGCACTTTCATTCTTTCTAATTGCTGTTTTTTAGAATCCCATTCTTCATACGGTCCATTAATCCAGTCTGCTGTATAAATTTTAGAGAATCCACCTTCAGTTAGGTATTTAATATTCTTTAAATTATTATATGGGATCCATTCTACTATCATATTCGGGCTAAGTGCTTCCAATTGACAATTTTGTATTAATTTATCAATATCATTATTTCCAGATGTCTAATTTGAAAATCTTTCTTTTAAATAATCTTGAACACAATATTCGCAATATAATGTAGCTAAACATTCTTTGTTGCAATTTTCACAAATTCTTCTTATTCCTTCATTAAAAAGAATTTTATTTCGGTCATAATCTTTAGTAGTTAATCTTATTGCTTCAGTTTTTTCATCTTCCGTAAGAGAGCTATCAGTAAGAATTGTTTGTTTTATAAATTCATATTGGTTATGGAGTCCCTTGTAAATGTTATAATCAAGCAATGACCTTGCTCTATTGGTTGCTTGATAAACTAATTCTCTTCGAATGGTAGACATGACGTCAATAATATAGTCATTTATTTGAATTTTATTTAAACGGTGCGTAAAAGGGAAAAAAAAATTTATTTACAAAATTAGTTGTGCAACATTAAACTTTAATATTGTCTACTGATCAACCTTTGTGCAACATCACACGATTCACATATTTCTTTGTTTACTGAAAACTTAATGGTAATAGTGGTAATCTTCATAAAATTACTGCAAATAAATATTTTGCATTAAAGTAGCTTATATTATTATAAATATATACTATTTGGGTAAAATCAATACATTATTATCAATAATTTTTAATAATAAAATTTCGTAATTGACTTTATCACGTGATATGATTTTATAGCAATTTTGTAATAAAACAAGCCCGTCACTTGAAAAGAGCACGTGAAATTCAAGCTCAAAAGAAAAGCCATTCAAATATTTGCTAATTTACAAATAATAAATTTATAAAAAATCTGCAACGTAATGTAAATTTCGAAAAAAATGCCGGAATAAACCATACTAATAATTCAAACTATATTGGGATTACAAAAAAATCTTCAATAGTAAATTTTCATATGATACCATATATACAGTGTGTTGCAAAAAAAACCGGAATAAAGTAAACGGCCATAACTTCACATTGAGAATATAAAAACATAGTAAATTTTTTTTTATTTAAGAGCTAGAAACCAGCTCTTTCTATTAATATAATTTAATAGGAGATTCGTTCTCCATTATTTTCGATAATTAGCTCGCAACGTCGTTTCATTGAACCGGCGAGATTCTTTATCATGGTATCCGGAATTGCCGACCATTCCTCTGCCATAAAACTCTCCAATTCATTGAGATTTTTTGGCATTCGGCGCTCCACATTCCCCTTAACAATAGCCCATAAATTTTCTATCGGATTTAAGTCAGGACTATTTGAGGGCCAATCCATGACTTCCGGGACATTGTTTTGGAGGAATTCTTTAGCAAGACGGCTAGTATGCTTCGGGTCATTGTCTTGCTGGAGCCGCCAATCATCACCGAGCATTGCATCAATCTCCGGAATATGATTTTCAAGGATCTCAACATAAAATTCAGCATTCATTATTCGACGGAAGCAAAACAAACTTGTTTTGCCCGTTACGCAAAATCCGCCCCATGCAAAAATCTTTGTTCTGTCTTTTGGCATGGGGCGTATTGGCCGAATTTTCTTATGCCAACGCTTCACAGTGTTCCGGAAGAGTTGGAAGGCTGTTTCATCCGAAAAAAGTGTTGTGTTCCAATTATCATTAATGTGCTGCTGCGCCCATTCGATACATTTTTGCTTATGCGCAGCAGTAAGCATTGGGGTCGCCCTTGGAAGTGATTTTTTATAGCCATGGACAGTTAAGTGCCTTGAAACTGTCGAGTGGGATACTTCAAGGCCCATTTGGCCCAATTTTTTGGCCAAAGTCCTCGTTGGAACTGATGTATCTCTTCGGATACTTTGTCCAAGGGACCTGGAAAATTTGCCGGTAATTTTCCTTGGGCGACCACTTCCCTTTTTTCGGTTTACTATGTTATCCTCTTTTAACTTTTTAATATTATCATATATAGTGGAGAGTGGGATGCGTGTAATCTTGTGTATTTCAGTCCCTTTACGCATACCCTCACTCCACAATTGTAAAATTGTTTGTCGCTGCCTTTCTTTCTTTGAAACTGTCATTTTGCGGCGCAGTAGCTCGGAAAAACATAAATATATTATTTACGAATTAGGTCGGGATTTATGGTCATGATCGTCATGTCGATTTTCCATTTTAGATTTTCCAAATCGGATACAAATTGGGTACGTAAGTCCGATTTATGTCATGTGAATAAAATTCCGGTTTTTTTTGCAACACACTGTAGTTTTGATGATTGACAACGCGTAATAACATTTTGCTAGATTTATATCGTGATAAATATTATATAATAATTATATAATATTTATCACGATATAAACCTAGAAAAATGTTATTACACTACTTTATAAAAGAATTAGAATAGTAAATCATATGCTTGTATTACAGTAATACGTACTTAAATTAAAAGAATGATATTGAAATTTCAAAGCATAAAGCATTATATATGTATATTGCGGTATTATTATTTTGCTACAGATATAGTACGAATTTATTTTCATAATAAACTTTTTAATGATAGCGATTATAAAAACTTAAGTGTTGATATTATTTAATTTCTTATTTAATTTCTTAACATAAATTTGAAAATAATATTTTTCAGTCGCATTTTCTATTTTCTTATTGCTTAATCCTTTTAGGAATCATCATAATTAATTATTTGCTATAAACTATAAAACCGATTGTAACATTCATAAATTTTATACAGTTTAGAACGAATTTTTAAGTGAAGATTTTGCCAATTTAAAAGTATAAATCGAATTTTTTTTAAATTGTTGTGAAATTTTTTCCAATTTTAAAGTATAAGTCGAATTTTTTTTAAATGTTCACGGATTTTGCCAATTTTAAATATAAATTTTTAAAAATGTTTACGAAGAATTTGTAAAACGAGTTGAGAAAACTAATTTCTTGATAAAATTTCGGTATTCATCGGAAATCAATCTGTTGTTACGGATGAGTTAATATTTATATCGTGGTTATCATTGGATGGCATACCATTTATATCATCATAATTTCGATCAACGGCTGTTATCGGAATATCTCGTGTCGTTATATTCTCACCAGGCTGTGGAGATGCGATGCGAGTATCTCGATGATTATCAGTAGTTGAAACATCATATGCTAATACATCATTCTGAAGTGAATTATAATCTGACATCGTCCCTCTTTCAGGGATTTGACATTGTGGAAAATTATTGAGATCAGTTTGTTGAGTATCTTCAACTTCATTTTGATAAGGTAAGCAATTTTTTTGATTATCCATTATTGAAGTCACTTGTGTTGTCATCAAATTATCCTTAATATTCTCATGAGATATGTTTGTATTTCTATTATTATTATGTACTGGTCTCATTTCTCTCTCAGCTGGTGACACATTATTGAAATCAACTTGTTGTTGCGGATGAATAACATTTTGAATGTAACCTCCAACTTCATTAACATTATTTTGATTGTCATTCATCGGTGTCGCCATTATGTTATTTCCAATATTTCTATACAATGAATCTGAATTTCTATTGAAGCCTGGTCTCATTTCTCTTTTAGGCGAGATATTGTTGAAATCAATTAGTTGCCGTGGTTGAGTGACATTGTAAATATAGTCTACGATGCCATTTTGATAAAATCCATTTCCGTTGCCAAAATTGTTTTGATTATCATTCATCTGATTCATATTTATATTAGAATCCATCCTTATTGCTTCACTTTTAGGAATATGATTTTGCATAAGATAAAATGGAAGAATTTGTTTCAAGTCTCGTTCTAGATTTAAAATTTGATCCAAAGACAATGATTTTTTTCGTTCAAAGTTATTCATGTCAATATCCATCCCGTATATTTCTTTATTCAATACTTTTATGATCAAAGGATGTGAAAATAATTTGCACTTAACATAATAATTTATTGTAGAGCCATGATAACAAAATCCATGATCGTAATCATGATCATCTAAGACAGAACCTCGTAAAATAATTTGACAAGTTATATGATAGAAATTATTATCTTCTGGTGTATAATGAAAGAATTTACATTCATTCATTTGAATAGCTTGAGAAATCGGTACGTTATCAGTAAAATTATTCATCATATTTCTTTGATTCATAGACGAAATTACAATATAAAAAAACGTTAGAAAACGTTTTTGTTTAAAGTAATAGTTTCGCAAAAAATAAGTTAAAAAAATCGGAACGTTAGTGAATAAGATAGATAACCGTTAAAATATATTGTTATTTGTCCTAGAATCTTAGAATCAAATAAAATAATTTTGAAATGAGATACTGTAGGTTCATTTATATAATTTATATATTATTTTTATCAATTATCTTGTTACGCACAACATTTGCGAACAAATAAATGTTTCAAGTAAAATGTTTCAGCCCATACAAAAATTGTTTGTTTGGATTACAATATATTAATTGAACGACTAGCAACTTATTATCCATTTTAAATCGCTATTAATAAATACTAAATTTGGAATGTAATTTCTAAAAAAATGGAAGTTTCGAAATGGTCTATATTTAAATCTTGTAGAGATTGCATGATTAGTCATATAAACGCCAATAGAAAAATGCATAACACCTGATAAAGCATGAAACCAAGTTTGGCAGAATTGACTGCACCATTTGAAGATAATAACTTTTAAATCGGTAGATACCGAATTGTAGATGATAATTATTGTTGAACTAATTTGATGAAAACGCCGCTTGGTTTCTTTTAGAACAATCTTTCGGTTTTACTTTTCAATTTGAGTTTGATCCAACTTAAAAAAAAAAATTTTCATATTACTATTTATTATTTTATTGTCCATTATAAAATGGTTAAATCAATAATCGTTACTTAAATTGCTATTATTCGAATGACTTATCGTTCAGCCAGTAAGATTATTTAGACTATATTGACTGATGTTTTTTAGCTGATCAATATTATAACAATATTGTACAAAAGCTTATATAAATTAATTATCGGTATAACATATTATTGAAATATCGCTGAAATGCGAAGCAGGTTGGATGGTAGTTTAACAATATGTTCTATATAAAAAAATAATGAATAAACTATTACCAATCGAGTATTATTTGTAGTACATTTCAATGTCGCTCATAAATTAGTCTGTGTGGCACTCTAGTATTTTACCTATAAAGGTTTAACATTAAATTATTACACTAACTAATTAGGTTAAAATTGTTCAACACGAGATAATATGATGATATATGCACAATCATCAATAGTTTTTTGGGGTACTTCTCAACAAACAACAATCGTCGTCGGCGTTATATGCAGTTACTGCGCATAAAGACGATCTGTAAAAAGAAAATCGACGTGAGTTTGCATAAAAACATAAACTCAACCTAAACATATTTGTTTTTTCTAGTAGCTTTATAAAGTTAGAATTTTTAAGAAAAGGGTTTTTGAAACAATCCTAAAACGCTCGGAATTCCAAACGTATTAATTTATTTAACTATTTAATAACACACACTAAGCTTATTTGTTTTGCGTAATTGATAACTATTGGAACTAATTATTCTAACTATATATTCTATCCTTTCATTATACATATTATTTCTTTCTTCTTCTACATTGACCTCGTTTACGCATCGATTTTTAAAATTATATTTCGTAAACTTTCATATGGTAATTTTTTTTTCAATAGCTTTCATAATACTTTTTTTTTTATCATATCATAGTAAATAAATTAATAAATAATTCCGCTTATCATTTTTACCATTTTGTTACACGTAATAATTACATCTTCCAGTAATGATCTTATCTTTATAATCATATTTTATACTATACTTGTATAATGCTAAAGGTTATTTTTCATGATATATATATTTAAAATTATTACATTATATTTATTGGAATAAATAATTTTCGCATTGATTTAATATTGTATTTTTCTTCATTAATTTGGTGAAAAAGTAAATTGGCTTCTTATGATTAGATATGAAAAAAATGATACCAAGACATGACTTAATGACATTTAATTCATTTATTGTTATTCGGATTTCGTCTAAATTTAAGATCTTTGTGAATTTGAACGACTTTAATTTTGGTTCTCAATTCAAGGTACTACTCGTTACTCACTAGTCGTTACATTGCAATAAATAAATTTTTATGAATAATCAACTGTATAATAATATATAATTTATTTAAAGTGTTAATAAAATGATATTATTCAAATTACAAACTAAGGGACGTTACTCTATTCTTAGTGTTTAAATAATTCTATATAAAAAATTGTAAATCAAAAAATTTAGATGATTTTGCCGATTTATTATTTCAAGTGATGTAGTACAATGATTTTGACATCATCTTTTTTCCATCACTGTATTCCCACACCTATTCCCACAATATCACAATATGTCTCAATTATTTAAAATAATCATGTCGGACATAAAATTATACTATTTTAATCACTAAGCCACTTAATATATTATGAGAGTTTTTAAATATATTTATTAAATACTGATACTATACATCGATAATATTGATAGGCGCGATATACAAGCTCCGCACATCATCAATTGCAGAATCATGAGATACGATCATTTTTTACTCACGAGTCGCGAGTCGCGATTTTTTTACTTGTAAACAAGTATATATATACTTTCAAAATATATATATACCATCAGTTTTCTCTAACAAAAAAAAAAATACCATTTTTTCGGAACGTTCTTTCCAAAAATCCGAACATAACAAATAATAAATAATATGGTTGTGTTTTACGTTTACAGTAACAACCTTTGTGTTTACCTACACCTTTCCTTTCGCAAGAAAATTCCTATCGTAATGTCTTAAAAACGTCTCGTGAAGTCTATTACATTTATGGAATAACGGTATTACATAGGTTAACAAACATCCCAAAGTCCACTATTTACGATAATATAAAAAAATTAAAAGAAAATGGGACTATAAAGCATGCTGGAGACCCAAAAAGATTACCGCAAATGTCTCCCATGTACTTGGTCAATATGTAAGGCATGATACGTCTCTTTCCACAAGAACTTTGGAGAAAATATAGGTGTAGAAGTATCGTATAGAACCGTTGGAAGGCATCTTTCAAGTTATGTAAAAAGACTGCCTAACGCAACCCTATACTGACCGAAATACACAAGGTAAAGCATGTGAAGTAGGCAAAAAAACATATTAATAACTGATGAGACAAAACTGATTTTACGATAAAACTTCTTTTCAAATCTTTAGAAACACTGTTGAATGATGGTATAAAGGAGAAAGACCAGTTCGGTGTATGCCTAAAGATCGTACGAAGATTATGGCATGAGGTAGTTTCTGCATGAAAGGAAAAACAAAATTATTTTGTTTTAAACAAATTATGAATGCCAAATTTTTATGTGGATTGTGGAAATTCTTCGTACAATGCTTGGTGGTCATTGGTGCTTCCAACAAGACAATGATCCCAAGCATACCAGCCGTCTTTCTTAAGGAAAATGTTTCAGTAGTGTTAGAGTGGCCATCCAACAGCCTTGACTTAAATCTGATCAAAAATTTATGGGCAATTATTTACCAGTTACAGCATTGAAACACTAGGCAACAGACGAAAGCTCTCTAAATGGAGTATTGTCAGTTTACTAGACGTGTGTAAAATGGTTAGGAGACTTTAAAAGAGGTGTGTATTTTTTTATTTGCAAAGTGAGTAACTTCCTAAGTCAAAATTAGAACGGATAACTCATTGAGTCGGGGAGTTCACAAATTTTACTTAGGAGGGTACTGGATTTATTTGTTTGAGTTGGGTAAGGGTGAGCAAAGTGGGTAATTCCTATGAAATTACCTGCTTTTTTTATTTTATTTTATTTTTATTTTTATTTTTTTTATTCCCTTTTTTTTCTTTTTTTTTTCTTTTTTTTATTTCTTTTGTTCACTTGATAACCAACTCAAGCAGATAACATCCTACTTTGTTATTAGTAAAGTCTGCTAATTCTAAAGGAGGAATTGGCTATGTCTTCTTTATGATTAAATAAAAATTTAGCACACTATTAATAATTTTTCTTTCTCATAATAGGTAAATGCAGAAATTTACAATCACTGGTAGAATGAAGAAATTTCAATTTTAAAAGGAATAAATATTTGGTAAATAATTAATTTGAAAATTATTTTAAGAACATTATATATCACGCATTTATCTTTTTTCTTTTTTTCTAGTTAATGGTTATACTATTTCTGCAAAGAACATAAAAAACACTTATAAAATTTTTCACAAGTGTACACTGTGAGTATCAAATTTGTGTGTTAACTATTCTAAGAAAAAATTCTTGAGCCTTCAGATTGATCATCTAGGTTAGAAGTCAAAGTTTTCTGATTTTTCATGCAAGAAATTGAACATAACGCCTGGAAGTTGCTTCTCAAAAAATTAATACCAGTTTATGAAAATTATTATTACTTTATTATACTTATGCCGTTATGCGCCTCATGTTTTTTTCAATTAAGCCATCATATAACTGCCATGACTCCTACCATGGAAGTAATAAATTAGTATTTTGTTTTTTAACAATACTTAGAACTTTTCTTTTTTTTTTATAGTTTCTCCCATATTGTTCAAAAATGGGTTGAGTATTTGACTAAAACAAACGTACTTGATTTCAGCATATGACGAATTGTAAGTTGGAAAAATCGTGTTTTCTGATAAAAAAAGAGAATACATACTGTAAGTTCAAGATCAATAATTGACTAATAACTCTATGCAACAGTCGGATTACTAATGTTTTGATCCAACTTTTTTAGGACTCTACGTACAGTACAATTGATATCTTCACAAAGAGTATAAAAGCAATATACTGTAAATCGGCTTTATTTATACTGTGAGTATCAAATTTTGCGTGTTAACTGTTTTATGATATTATAACCCTATTCTGTATATAATTCCAAGAAAAATTACTATTAATTTTCTAGGTTGGAGATCAAAGTTTTCTGACTTTTAGATAAGGCGAACATAGCGCCTGGAAGTCGCTTCTCAAAAAATTATTAATACCAGCTTATATGGAGATTCTATGGTGAAAGGACTCAAGAAATTTTATCCAACTTTTGAAGCGCTTAAATTGTTATGGTATAATATCTATTTATTATTTTATATTCATGATATAACATTTATTTATTTCTTTATTATATTTTTTGCGCATTAAATTTTTTTCAATTAAGCCAACTTGGTGTAACGTAATGAATGCTTGGAATATATAACGAGCCTAGATCCTCTTAGGATATGGTTGTATGGTCTTTTGTTTTCTTCGAAGTTTTTCTTTTGACTTTTGGAAAGGGCTGGGATTATAATATATAATTGTAGTGTGTCCAGCAGTTAGGGAATACTGTATGACATGGGTGCCTGTAGCTGTGAGTTTATATTTTTGGTGTTGTATAGTAACAAACTGTAGTTTCTCAAGGTCTTCCTCTTTATTAAATATGAGTTGTAAGGGTCATCATTATTGTGATTACTAAATTTTTCAAGTGTAATGGTAGTAGTATTATCAGACGAATAAATTGTTCCTAAATAAAGTGTATCATTTATTAAAAGGAACCAGTTATTGTCAGTTGAAAGGTTCATAATGTAATAAAACAGCTTTCTCTGAGGTCAGTGTTGTAATGTAACGAGATAACTTTCCGTTAGTAGCTACCAAGTGGTCCACTATCTCGTTCCTATTACTTAAGGGTAAAAATTTATCTTGTAACAAATATTAAATTACAGAATTTTAAAAAAAATGGAAGTTGTTTTAAAAATTCCCAATTCTAAGTTATATGATTACATGACTGTGAGTTTTGCATTATGTCAATTCAGATATTGAATAATGTATTTATATTAGTTATTATGTAGACGCCTTTCATATACATATATAAGCTATTTTATTTTTACTATCATATAATTATTTTGCATTAGCATGTGATTTGTTCGTTTCATATAAGGAAAAACTATCAATGCAAATTAAAATATTTATTTATACCTTATGTCATGTTATAGCAAAAACTTCTTCTTTTTGCAAACATGGAACTATATTTTGGGGTTTGATCATAATTAAAAAGACTATTTAAAATTTATAAACCATATAGCTATTAGCAATATACTAGTATAATTAATAAAGCTACTAAGAATTAATTAGTGAAAAAACTAGTCTGTTTTGCTGATACTACTTTATTATTATATTTTATATTATATATTTTTTTTTTGTAATTTTTTTAAACCATTCATTAATTTGTCATCAATTTCAAATTTTCATCCTGCTGTTGTATAAACTTTAATACATTTCTATAATGACTGACGACTATCATTATATTCATGATGTCATTATTATATCAAGCTTGATTGTGGCTTTGTAAAAATTAGTTTATCAAAATTTCATGTCACAGTTATTATATAGTAATATTCATAATAATGTCATTATAACGAGCAAATTTAAATAATGGAATTTGTTCTTAATAGTTTTGTCATTTTAGTATACATCAGTTTACCAAGATGTCATTATAATGAATGGCACTTTAATTGATAAATAATCCACTAAATAAAGAATAATCAATATAATCATTAATTTTCAATTATACATTCATAACATTGAGTTTTCTCTTGATCTGAAATTTCAGTAATGTATTCAAAACTTTTTTGATTCAAAATTTCAGTAAGTTTGCGACTTGCATAATATGCTTGTGGATGAGAATATATGATAGAAGTATTTACTTGTTCTTGTATTAAAGCTCTGTTTGCTTTTACAAATTCCATCAAATCATTTTTTAATTGATCATAAATATTAGGTACTTCATATCTATGATTTCCATCACTATTTAATCTATAATATTCATTCATACATCTAATCCATTCAGATATAACATTTTCAAGCATCATTATGGTTGGTCTATTGGAAGGATTTGAATCCCAACATTTTTTCATTAAATCTATATAACATTTTGGAGTGTTTTTTATAATTCCAGGACGTTTTCCTTCACAAATATCTAAGACAAGGTTTTGGTCATGTTCTTCATAATTAAATGGAGGATGACCTGATGTAAATTCCCACATTATCATTGAAAAACTATAAATATCACTTGCTGGAGTATAGGAATATCTTCTTAATATTTCAGGCGCCATATAAGGCAGAACTCCATAAATTTCATTATCAGAATCTTGTAATTCACTTACAGGTTTACACAATCCTAAATCAATAATAAATAACTCATTGTAATCATTTGACATTAATATATTGCCATCATGAAAATCACCATGAGCTAAATTTGACTCATGAATTATTTTAAGTCCTAGTATAATTTTTTTCAATAATTGCAACTTGTCTTGCCACTTAAATTTAATTATATTAGATAAACATTTTCTTAAACTTCCTTTTTTTGCATAACTCATTACTATTATATAATTTAAATTATTTGGATCTTGAGTAATCCCAAAAAATTGAATGAATTTTGAAAATGATTGTTTCTGACAATTATAATGATATTTCCACTATATAAATATAAAAAATTATCAAAACTTTCATTTTTACGAAGAAAATAAAATCATTATTAAACATAAAAATACTATACCTCATCTAGAAATTTACTATTTAAACTTGATGAATTATTAAGTGTTTTAAGAATGACCTCATAGTCTGTTTGTCTATTCCATTGTTGTTTGTCAGCATTCCAACCATAAACAGGTCCATCCAACCAGATAGCTTTATGAATTTCACTAAATCCTCCTTTATCATAATAGTTAATTTTTGTCAAGTTATTATAAGGTATCCATTCTAAAAGCTCATAACTACTTTTAGCACTTAGTTGTGCATCTTGAATAAATTTATCAATAAATTTATTTTTACTTGTCCACTTGGAAAAATCTTGTTGAAAACGTTTAGTATTACATTGTTGGCACCACTGGTGATCAATATATGGTTGTTTACATTCATCACATTCAACTTCATTTTTAGAACCTATTTCATTACTTTCTATCATTTTTTGATGCCAATAAAAGGCTTTCTCTAGATCCTTTTTTGTACCTTCTCCATTTTCGTAAAATATAGCTAAACTATTCATTGCATCTTTATGCCCATTTTCTGCTGCTTTTTGATACCAACAAAAGGCGTTTTCTAAATTCTTTTCTGTTCCTTCTCCATTTTTATAAAATGTGGCTAAGTTATACATTGCATATTCACCCCCATTTTCTGCTGCTTTTTGATACCAATAAAAGGCGTTTTCTAAATTCTTTTCTGTTCCTTCTCCATATTTATAACATATGGCTAAATTATTCATTGCATATTCAAGCCCATTTTCTGCTGCTTTTTGATACCAATAAAAAGATTTCTCTAGATCCTTTTTTGTACCTTCTCCATTTTTATAAAATATAGCTAAATTATGCATTGCAACTTTATGTCCATTTACTGCTGCTTTTTGATACCAATAAAAGACTTTTTCTAAATTCTTTTCTGTTCCTTCTCCATAAAGATAACATATGGCTAAATTAAACATTGCACTTTCATACCCATTTTCTGCCGCTTTTTGATACCAATAAAAGGCTTTTTCTAAATTCTTTTCTATTCCTTCTCCATTTTTATAACATATGGCTAAATTATTCATTGCACCTTCATGCCCATTTTCTGCCGCTTTTTGAAACCAATAAAAGGCTTTTTCTAAATTCTTTTCTGTTCCTTCTCCATTTTTATAGCACATGGCTAAATTATTCATTGCACCTTCATGCCCATTTTCTGCTGCTTTTTGATACCAATAAAAAGCTTTTGCTAAATTCTTTTCTATTCCTTCTCCATTTTTATAGCACATGGCTAAATTAAACATTGCTACTTCTACACCATTTTCTGCCGCTTTTTGATACCAATAAAAGGCTTTTTCTAAATTCTTTTCTGTTCCTTCT